AATTGTATTTACAACTAAACCTAATTGTATTTACAACTAAACCTAATTAAATTTGCAACTAAACTTAATTGTAAATGCAACTAAACCTAATTATATTTACAAATAAACCTAATTGTATTTAAAACTGAACCTTGTTGTGATCACAACTAAACATAATTGTATTTGCAACTTAACCTAAACCTAAAACTTGATAATTACATGAATGACAAAGCTTCTGTATTCTCATGTAGGCTTACATGGGTGTAAATAAAATAAACAAAATGAAGATGAGTGTTTTTTTACCGTGGTAAAAATTTCAAAGCTACCATAATATCTATTTTAAAAAGATTTACATTAAGTCGACATTTCATAAGTTATAAACAACGGAAAGAAAACTTGAAATATTGTAAACATTAGTAAGACGGAAATAATTTCACATTTTTTACACAGTCAACATTTGTAAGACTGAAGTGTTATGCTGTAAGTATGTACAGTCAGAAGAAGGAATACATGTACAAACATGGTAATCGATTCAACTTTCAGAAAATTTCTCATATTTCTGATAGAATACCTACACCAGAGACTAATAAGAGAATATCCATTATCATTGTTTCATATCAAATGCAACTGGACAATCCCTTTTAATCTACATTCATGCAGTGACTTCTTTGCGTTAGATTGTTTAAAGATCAGTATATCATCGTGAAACTATTAATTGTTCTCACTTTATGCAGTTGACTTTTTCGCATAGAGAAGGGTTTTCCTTTTTATACGGATAAAAGATTTTTTTCCAATGATTCTGTTTCCGTCTTCATTACGGTGTGCCAATTGTTGTTAGGTTTTGTATGATTTCCCACCCTGTATTTTTTCTGCCACTTTATATAAGAATTGCACATTGGATATGATGTATTACTTCTCTCTTGTCCTTGTTTTAATTGAGATTTATATTCTTTAACTGATTTTGATTGATAAGTTTTTATTAGTATCAAAGCGGAAATAGATATTAACACGAAAATCAAATACATTATCATTTTATTTAAAGCTTAAATAATGACTGTTATTTTCTTTGTATTTAAACATAATATTTTATGTTTAATCTAATTTACGTATCCTATATCACTAACGAATGCTCAATTATTAATACCAATTTAAATATATATATATATATGTTATGATTACAAATCTTATAAATCATATATATATTCAAAGGATTTTCTTCATATTGACCACGTTCTTTGTCATGATAAATAAGTTAATATTTGTCCCAACGCCAATTTTTTTAATTATTATTCTTTATTATCAATCGCGGGATTTTGTATACTTATGATAGCGTACGAGTTTGTGAATACATACTGGATGACATGAAATTAAGGTAAAGTACAGTAATCCAATGTTTAATGTGCAGTAGAAATGGAATATATAACCATGCTTTCCTTTTGGTAATGTTATAAAGGCTTAATAAAATGTTGTAAGGAGAATTAAAGAGGACGTGTTAAAGGCGTTCGATGTCTTTAATGCTTACGCTATATCGGACTTGTTTGGAGTTTGAGTAAGGCTTTATTGTGTAACTGATACACTTTGATCAGGTACTAACGACCGAATGATGGCGTGGTCAAACTGACGCCAAATTAGCTCTGCCTCATATCTGTCATATCACTTTCATTGTTGTTCAGATAAATCAGTCATTGGCGATGAGATATTGACATTTAATTATGGTAAATATTATTCTGACCATGTTTTATTACTTTCTCTCCCGTTTTAATCAACATGTAATATCCATGAATCGATTTTTATACGTATTATTCTTGGGGGAAAGTATACTTGAATTTGAAGGGAACAGTATACTTCAACTGGCAAGCGTCTTTGCTATAAATAGCCATGGTATCAATTACATTGAATTACTCTTTGTTGATAACAATTTAATATATCAAAGGAAAATAAAACCATCAAATCGTCGCACACGGAGAAAATCATACATTATGAAAACTATTATGAAAAATGATTCCTTTAATGAAATGAATGCACTGAAATAAAATTTCTATGGGCTCCACTTTGTAAACATGTCGTCAGGTGACGGAGAGTACAGTGTTCTAAGGTATACCTACATTCTTTCTCACACAACGCCATCGCAATAATTCGGATCAGAAATCTGAAACGAGCACTGGAAGTAATTGGTAATTTTGTAAACGATTTTATAAATGCGAGGACATTTAAAACTGTCGCGATTTTATATCATGGTGGCAGTAAAACGCGTCACAGTGCTAGCATTGTGGTGCATCTCACTTTTGTATAGTGTCAGGAACCATTTATTTGACAAACTACCACACTGTAACACTGCCAGGCACCAGTATTTCAGTGTCAATGTTGACGTTTTCTAATAGTATATTGATTCATCAAAGAGATAGTATTTAACACCGAATATTAACATTTAAAAGTGAAACGTTTTCAAACGCAGAACTGAAAGAGGCACTAGGCACCTTTTCAGACATGGCATTATATTGCCAGTGTCAGGCACCCCGTTTTCAGACATATAGACAGTGGCACGTACTGAATTTTCAGATACATCATTTTCAGTGTCAGTCACCATGTTGTTAGGTTCGTTTTCGAAAATGTGAGGCGACACGTTATTAGTCACAGAATATTTAGGGTCTGGTGTCACGATTTTAGACGCGACTCAGAAATGACGGAGTAATGCGAATGGTTTTCAGACACAGTATTTATAGAGTAAGGTACCATGTTTTTAGACGCGACCTAGTACTGAGAGTGTAAGGCGTCACATTTTTAGACAAAGTATTTAAAGAGTAAGGTGCCACGTTTTCAGATTCGACTTAGTGCGGAGAGTAGTAGGTGCCACGTCTTTAGACAAAATATTCAGGTGTCACGTCTTCAGACACAGTATTTTTATGGCTAGGTGACACGTTTTTAAACAGAGTATTTACAGGACCAGGGGCCATGTTTTTAGACACAGTATTTATAGAGCCAGGTACTACGTTTTCAGACACACTAATTGAAAATTTTTCATATTGAAATTAACGGTGTCTAGTGCTACATAAATAGGCACACTATTGAGAGAGTCATGCGTCACGTTTTCACCAGTAATACTGACACCGTCAGGGATCAAGTTTTTAGGAAACATTACACATATCAATGTTTCATTGATATAAATTGCTTGTATTGTTAAATTGACAGAGAAAAAGTATTTAAGTGATTGTTTAGAGAATATCATCGGATTAATTAAAAAAAATATTTTAATTCTCAAGAGAAAAAAAAAGAAAAACTCTTTGTAAGATAGAGAAAAGTATATCCACATTGATTTATGTTGCAGATTTCCAAGATAATCTTTACATCGGTATGATTTCCTTTTTGAATCATAATTGATTAATCGTCCGTGTCAGAATCCCAAGAAATACCGCAAAAGGTCATTCCTGATTTTCTTTAAAGAAAAAAAAGTTCAATCACCTCCCCATGATTATGGCTGGCAGTCCCTTCATTTCTCAAGTCCGACTGGAGCAGACGATATTCTCTGGAGAGTTCCGTTTAATATTCTGTGATCTGACTTTACGCCTGCCATGAATAAGGAAAATGAAATATGTTTCATCTACTCCTTTAATTAGTTTTTTCAATCTTGCTAGAGAATACCCAAAGCATATGTCGGAAATGTTGCAATTACCATCAAAATAAAGGAATTAATTTGTTACCAGGGCTATTAGAAAATCACTTGGCTGGTTGTTGATAATGGATGGACATACGAGTCTAAATCTATTCACAATGCTTCCGTGTATTTGTATACATCAGGCCGTATTCAACACTTAATGGTCGTTATTAATGGTCTCCGTCAGCATATCATGTATTTGTCGGAGAAATGTGGATGTGGTTTTTTTTCTGTATCACAAGATTGATCGGCTCAACGGAATTCCAAAATGATTCCAAATTAATAATAATCAACAATAATGATTTCAATTTCTTATTACATAATGCATTGCGTATAATAATAATGTTAAAGGTTATATAAAGTTTAGGTTTAACAATATCAATATTGTTCTGACATATTTCATCATGCTGAGAAAGTGGAAAGATCATTTTATCGAGACATTTGTCCACGTGATACTACTCTGATATACACACCATGCGACTACTCAATATTTACTAATGAATTCTATATCTATACGTTCTGTCCGATATTATCATTATAATTACTATCTAACTAAAAGGTAAAAAGACAAATGCTAAAAATCTTAAACAGTTATATAATCACAAAAGATTAAAACGGTAAGTCATAGTCTATAATATAGACCAACATCTTTCAGATAACCTAGTATTTGATAAATCTCAACAGTTTCAACGTTACGATAAAAAATATCTCGAGTAGACAGGAGGTCAATGCAGTCCCATAAAATGTATAATGGTGAATACAAGTCGCTTACATATTATCAAAGTAAAAAAATGTAAAATAAAACTATAGTATTGCAAATTTCCTACCGTCAGCTTGTGGCAATAGAAATAGGAGTCGTGATATGGCAAAATCTATCCCAATTATGCACCATGATATTCAGTCGTAGCGTATGTAATATGACCTACAATGCATACTTTTAATTTGACCTGTTCGACAATCTGTGGTCTACGTGTCACTTCAGTTGGCCATACGACTCCTTATCGTAAAAACATCCTCAACACTAACCCTTCTAATGATATAGATCAAGTGTTTAAGAATTTGTATTATCGATGTTCTCTGTATCGTTCGGCAGTTTTACCACTACGTTTAAGTGAACACCTGAAATTCCGTCTAAATAGATAAATATCCACGAAATTCGCGTGTTATAGTTTATTTAAGTCCGTGCTTGCTCTAACTTATGGGAATTTTTCGAACAATGAATCTAATAGGTTGATGAGGATAATTGATACGTTTGATATTTCTGGAGGTTTGGCCCCTTTCTGTCGATTTTCACAAGGAATTACGTTGACATGTAGGTACATTCTCTCTAAAAACGGATTATGGTTAATCTTTAATTGTTATATTGTAGACACTACATGGGAAAATCAGACTGTAGCTGTGTCGGATCATTCTGGAACTTCTGCTGATATGACACCCGTGGAAGATGAATATAGCTCACACGAGGCAAAGATCGGTACCGTCGATTTGTTTAATGTACCAATAGTGTGTCTCCACATAGAAAACAAAGAACGCCTCTGTCTAGCACAGATTTCTAACACCCTCCTCAGGGACTTCAGCTACAATGAGATTCACAATCGCCGGGTAGCGCTTGGTATAACATGTTTGCAGTGTACACCAGTTCAACTAGAGATTCTTCGTCGCACTGGTGCCATGCCAGTATCGTCCAGACGATGTGGACTCATCACTAAAAGAGAAGCAGAGCGACTTGTCAAGTCCTTTTTGGAGGAAATTCCTCCTCCTAGACTCCCTGACAACTTCTCTTTCAACGTGTATCACAGCTGTGGATGGGGATGCCAGGGCCAGTTTATCCCCTCCAGGTACAACAGTTCAAGAGCAAAATGCATCAAATGCGCCTTTTGCAATGCTTTTTTTTCCCCAAACAAATTCATCTTTCATTACCACAAGTCTCCGACTTCCACATATAGACATCCTGATGCTGCTAATTTTAATTCTTGGAGACGTCATTTGCTTCTAACCGATCCGAATCCTTCCGAAAAACTCATGCACTCGTGGGAAGATGTGAAGTCAATGTTCAACGGTGGATGCCGTAAGAAAATGTCAACATGTAGCACGAAAATCCCTACCAACTCTGTAAAGCCTTTCAAGATCGATCAAAGCTACAGTTCCTCTCCTCTATCTTCTATGGTACATTATGAGGTGGCGAACCCCGGTTCCATAAAGGTTCCAGAGAGAACGCATCCTGCCTTTAACCTCAGCAGTCAAAGTGCCACAGCGAGTATTGGGACATATGGGGAGATGCTACGGTCATTCAGTATGCAATACAATCCGTGGTGGAAGCCTTGGTACCTACCAAACAACCATATATCACCAATTGACAGCAGCAATTCAATGCTACCATTCAACATACAAGAGGCCCGTGGTGATGTTTATCCAAATATGGATGACCTCAAAGGTAGGAAACAGAAATCACTAACCTCTCCTATTGAATTAGAGACAAAGAGCGTATGTGCCTCGGAGAAACGATCTACAAACACTGATGGATTCAACATAGCATCTATCATAGGCAACAAGAAAACACAATCAACCACACGTTTCACCAAGAGATGACGTTCGATGCGATATACTTACACAAGTTACAGATGATCCACACATGGAAAACAACCGGAGTTCTACTCCAACGGATATAGAGGAATGCACAAAGACCAAGTTCCGAAAGACAGTTCCAAAGGTGAATACTATATGAAATGAAACTATTTCCAATCCCAATACATCAATCATATATCCTATTACCAATTACGGGCGTAGCGCATTGTTTTAATATCATTACAGGATATAATTCAGTAATAAATGTAGTCATTATCAGTGTGAGTATCGCAAGAGTAAATATTTATCTTTCCAAACGAGTGTTGTACAGATTACTGGCCTATACTTACACATTGACGTTACTGAGATAATTGCCCTATACTTACACATTAACGTTACTAGGATAACTGGTCTATACTTACAAATTAAAGTTACTGAGATAACTAGTCTATACTTACACACGTTACTGAGATCACTGATCTATACTAATACTCGTTACAGAGATAACTGGTCTATCCTTACACACGTTACATATATAACTGGTCTATACTTACACACGTTACAGATATACACAACTGGCTATACTTACACACGTTACAGAGATAACTGGTCTATACTTACACACGTTACAGAGATAACTGGTCTATACTTACACACGTTACAGAGATAACTGGTCTATACTTACACACGTTACAGAGATAACTGGTCTATACTTACACACGTTACAGAGATAACTAGTCTATACTTACACACGTTACAGAGATAACTGGGCTATATCTTCACACGTTACAGAGATAACTAATCTATACTTACACACGTTACAGAGATAAATGGTATATACTTACAAACGTTGCAGAGATAACAAATCTATACTTACACACGTTACAGAGATAAATGGTATATACTTACACACGTTACATGATCAATCTATACTTGCACACGTTACAGATATAACTGGTCTATACTTACAAACGTTACAGAGATAACTGACCTATACTTACACAAGTTACAGAGATAACTGGTCTATACTTACACACGTTACAGAGATAACTGGTCTATACTTACACACGTTACAGAGATAACTGGTCTATACTTACACACGTCACACACAGAGATAACTGGTCTATACTTACACACGTTACAGAGATAACTGGTCTATATACACGTTACACACGTTACAGTCTATACTTACACAGATAACTGGTCTATATACTTACACACCTTGCGGAGATAACTGGCCTATACTTACACATGTTACAGAGATAACTGGTCTATACATTCACACGTTACAGAGATCAATGGTCTATACTTACACACGTTACAGAGATAACTGGTCTATACTTACACACGTTACAGAGATAACTGGTCTATACTTACACACGTTACAGAGATAACTGGTCTATACTTACACACGTTACAGAGATAACTGGTCTATACTTACACACGTTACAGAGATAACTGGTCTATACTTACACACGTTACAGAGATAACTGGTCTATACTTAGACACGTTACAGAGATAACTGGTCTATACTTACACACGTTACAGAGATAACTGGTCTATACTTACACACGTTACAGAGATAACTGGTCTATACTTACACACGTTACAGAGATAACTGGTCTATACTTACACACGTTACATATATAAGTGATTTACACTTACACACCTTGCGAAGATATCTGGCCTATACTTACACACGTTACAGAGATAACTGGTCTATACTTACACACGTTACAAAGATAACTGGTCCACACTTACACATTAAAGGTACAGAGATAACTGGTCTACACTTCCACAAGTTACAAATATCAATGGTCTATACTTACACACGTTGCAGAGATAACTGGTCTATACTTACACACGTTGCAGAGATAACTGGTCTATAATTACACAGGTTACTGAGATAGCTGGTGTATACTTACACACGTTACAGACAAAACAGGTCTATACTTACACATTTTACACAGTTACCTGACATACACTTACACACCTTCCGGAGATAACTGGCCTATACTTACACGCGTTACAGAGATAAATGGTATATACTTACACACGTTACAGTGATCAATGGTATATACTTACACACGTTACAGACATAACAGGTCTATACTTACACACGTTACAGAGATAACTGGTCTATACGTAAAATACGTTACAGAGATCACTGGTCTATACTTACACACGTTACAGAGATAACTGACCAATACTTACACACGTTATAGAGATAAATGGCTTATACTTATAACGTTACAGTGATAAATGGTCTATACTTACACACATCACAGAGATAACTGACCTATACTAACACATGTTACACAGATAACTGGTCTATACTTACACATAAACGTTACAGAGATAACTGAACTACACTAACACAGGTTAAAGCGATAACTGGTCTATATTTACACACGTTAAAGAGATAACTCATTTATACTTACACACGTTACTGAGATAAATGGTCTATACTTACACACGTAACAGAGATCACTGGTCTATACTTTTACACGTTACAGAGATAACTGGTCTATACTTACACACGTTACATATATAAGTGATTTACACTTACACACCTTGCGAAGATATCTGGCCTATACTTACACACGTTACAGAGATAACTGATCTATACTTACACACGTTATAAAGATAACTGGTCCACACTTACACATTAAAGAGATAACTGGTCTATACTTACACACGTTACAGAGATAACTGGTCTATACTTACACACGTTACAAAGATAACTGGTCTATACTTACACACGTTACAGAGATAACTGGTCTACACTTACACCAGTTACACAGATCAATGGTCTATAGTTACACACGTTTCAGAGATATAACTGGTATATACTTACAAACGTTACAGAGATAACTGGTCTATACTTACACACGTTGCAGAGATAACTGGTCTATACTTACACACGTTGCAGAGATAACTGGGCTATACTTACACATTTTACACAGTTACCTGACATACACTTACACACCTTCCGGAGATAACTGGCCTATACTTACACGCGTTACAGAGATAAATGGTATATACTTACACACGTTACAGTGATCAATGGTATATACTTACACACGTTACAGACATAACAGGTCTATACTTACACACGTTACAGAGATAACTGGTCTATACTTACACACGTTACAGAGATATAATACTTACACACGTTACAGAGATAACTGGGCTATACCTTCACACGTTACAGAGATAACTAGTCTATACTTACACACGTCACAGAGATAACTGACCTATACTTACACACGTCACAGAGATAACTGGTCTATACTTACACACGTCACAGAGATAACGTTACAGCGATATAAATGGTCTATACTTACACACGTTACAGAGATAACTGGTCTATACTTACACACGTTGTAGAGATAACTGACCTATACTTACACACGTTACTGAGATAACTAGTCTATACTTACACACGTTAAAGAGATAAGCGGTCTATACTTACACACGTTACATAGATAACAGGTCTATACTTACAAACGTTACAGACATAACTGGTCTATACTTGCACACGTTACAGAGATAACTGGTCTATACTTACACACGTTACAGAGATAACTGGTCTATACTTACACACGTTACAGAGATAACTGGTCTACACTTACACACGTTACATAGATAACTAGCCTATACTTACACACGTTACAGAGATCACTGGTCTATACTTACACACGTTACAGAGATAACTGATCTACACTTACACACGTTACAGAGATAACTGGTCTATACTTACACACGTTACATATATAAGTGATTTACACTTACACACGTTACAGAGATAACTGGTTTATACCTTCACACGTTACAGAGATAACTGGTCTAAACTAACGAACATTACAGAGATAACTGGTCTATACCTACACATGAACGTTACAGAGATAACTGGTCTACACTTACACACGTTACAGAGATAACTGGTCTATACTTACACACGTTACAGAGATAACTGGTCTATACTTACACACGTTACAGAGATAACTGGTCTATACCTTCACAAGTTAAAGAAATAACTAGTCTAAACTAACAAACGTTACAGAGATAACTGGTCTATACTTACACAAGTTACAGAGATACCTGGTATATACTTACAAACGTTACACAGATAACTGGTCTACACTTACAAACGTTACAGAGATAACTGGTCTACACTTACACACGTTACATAGATAACTAGCCTATACTTACACACGTTACAGAGATAACTGGTCTATACTTACACACGTTACAGAGATAACTGGTCTATACTTACACACGTTACAGAGATAACTGGTCTATACTTACACACGTTACAGAGATAACTGGTCTATACTTACACACGTTACAGAGATAACTGGTCTATACTTACACACGTTACAGAGATAACTGACCTATACTTACACACGTTGCAGAGATAACTAATCTATACTTACACAGGTTACAGAGATAACTGGTCTATACCTTCACACGTTACAGAGATAACTGGTCTAAACTAACAAACGTTACAGAGATAACTGGTCTATACTTACACACGTTGTAGAGATAACTAACCTATACTTACACACGTTACAGAGATAACTGGTTTATACCTTCACACGTTACAGAGATAACTGGTCTATACTTACACACTATACTTACACACGTTACAGAGATAACTGGTCTATACTTACACACGTTGCAGAGATAACTGACCTATACTTACACACGTTACAGAGATAACTGGTCTATACTTACAAACGTTACAGACATAATTGATCTATACTTGCACACGTTGCAGATATAAATGGGCTATACTTACACACGTTACAGAGATAACTGGTCTATACCTTCAAACGTTGCAGAGATAACTGGTCTATACTTACACAAGTTACAGAGATAACTGGTATATACTTACAAACGTTACAGAGATAACTGGTCTACACTTACACACGTTGCAGATATAACTGGTCTATACTTACACACGTTGCAGAGATAACTGGTCTACACTTACACACGTTACATAGATAACTAGCCTATAC